AATGAATAAGTTGCAGCCGTACAGTAACCATCTGTACACTAATTCAGGTTCAGCCAAAATGGAAATTTTAAATCGCACTTTGTTAGAAATACCTTCACTGCTGCTGCTTTAAAGACAAAAGGCATCTTATCTTAAGCCCTATTTGGACAAGACTGGTATTTATTTTATATGTAATATTTAGAAATATCTTCATAGGTATCTGTTTTCGTTGCAGCGTATTGGCACTGAATAAGTGAGGTCTATGTGTTACTCATATTTTCTGATGTTATCAGCTGGTGAGCCTTTTTCAAGACAGCAAAATGTTCCCTGTCTGATGGATTTGAGCTCTCTGTGGTTGGGTCTCCATGCTGTGTAGCGACGTGAGCCTTCAGGATTTACGTTGAAAATACTCCAAACTTTCATTATAACTGCCAAAGCAGCCTCCAGATTTCTAAAAATGAGAAAGAAGCAAAAGGAACCTTGCAAGAACAAACAAAAAAAAAGACTTCCCCGAGTTAGAGAGATGCAGATTCACGCACTATTAGAATTATTGCAGAACCTCTGTCTCACAAAATATGCAGGTAGTTTATGGTAGAATTTGGCCTTCAAGCATTCTGGACATGCAGATTAACATCACAGATGACCTCCTCAGTTACTACAAGTATCGAGAGATAACCAGGCACAGCTTTAGACACAGCTTTCTAGTAAACATGCTACGCTTTATTACAAATGCTTTTTTGTTCCTTCTCAAGCCATTATTTACAAATCCTAAAGTTTTGCTTTATGTTAACTCATTTATTGTTGTTTGGAAGTCATGATACATATTCTTGGTGCATTGTTGCTCACGATACCAATGGAATTAATGAAATACAGCAGTTTTGCGAAACATTATAAGATGATACAGGCAATATCTGTAACTAAAGAAGAAAAAGGACCCCTGAAAGGCAAAAAGCAGGAACTTTATATTTATTTACTGCATTGTGGCGTCAGTGTGAGTTATTTAATGTTCATTTTGAATGTGTTATTTTTATCGATTTATCTCTCTGATTTGCTTTCATCACTTTAATGTCATATATTTTATAAGCGTCACCCCAGGTAATCATTTAGTAGTGAATCTGGTAGAGAATCCATGTAGAGCACCTGCATGCTTTCAATTAAAATATAAGCATTTGGCACCAGTGCATCATAATGTATTCTATAAATCGTACCCTGAATTCACACCTAAAGACTTTAAAGTTCAAACATTCATTTATAATTGCCCCGTGGTCTCCATAATTGAGTAGGAAGAAGAAAGGTGATGAGGAAACAAAAACCTTGTAACACGATATTTTGGATATTTTATCCCTACTTTGTGTACTTCTAGTAAAAATACAACATCCACATAATAAGTTTGAAGTTTTCTGAGTTGTTTTTGCATCCTGCGCTTAAATTAAAATAGTCTGGAATTCATAGTGATGGAACACGCTTGCAGCGTTTCTGCTGTCAGACTGTATTACATCTCTGTCCATCTGTGTGAACATAGCTGAGGTAGCTGTGTAGTTATCATTCCTGAGGTCTCTTGTGAGTTTTGTCTCAGTCATATGATCTTTAGGAGGGTTTGTACAGCCTCGATCACTGAGGTGGTCCCTCCCCGAGGAGACTGTCTCCGTCTTCGTGCTGTAGGACTTCATCAGCAGCACTTGTTTTTGTTTTGTTCTTTGTTCTCATATTAACATATTTTGTTCTCTTTTCTGTGTCTGTTTATTTATGATTAGTGTGTAAGGATTTGATTCAGGATGTCAAAGGAAGGGTTAAAAATAGCTACTTTCATGAAAACATCAAGACTGACAGTGAAGTCAGGCAAAAATAATGCCTAAAATCAAGTTTAAGAGGGAGGCTTTTACTGGAAAACATGATAGAAGGTTAAAACCTGAAATATCAAAAACAAACTCGAACTGAGTCATCGCAGCACGTCCCTTACTTAACCGGTCTTTCTCATTCCCTCTGTCTTTAGAAAGGTTCAGTCAGAGGTCTTCGGCCTCACCACGACTATTTTTAACAAGGCCTGAAAGCCAAGCATTGGACACTTACAGACCCTTAAACAGGTGCCAACTTTTGTGCCGAAAAGTGTGGTGTGGTGTGTTGTGGTGGGGTGTGTGCACGGGGAGTGACTGTGGGCTGGTGTCGGAGGAATGCGTGACCTTGCCGGCCTCTGCCGCTGTTTGGCTTTGATCGGACATTCCTCTGAAAGTTTCCGCCTTCTGCTGTCACTGAGCCACAGGGTCGGGATACAAGTTTGTGTGGGTTTTTAATGTGTTTTGTGTGCGGAAAACCGAATGCAAGAGTGTGTCTAAGAAAAAAAAAAGTATGTTTATGTTGTTATTCACAAAGAGACAAAAATATGGAGACATAAAGACACAAAGCAAGAAAAAGTAAGTCACTTTTGGTGGCAGTGGTGGTGCGCAGATAGATGCTAAATATAATCTAGCAGCTGTTAAAGTACCGTCCTCAATCCACTCTCACGTAAAGGAGACGATAAAATAATTTTCACACTATTTTTAAATTTTGATTACTCACTCATCCATCAGCGGCCAATCAGTAGAAACCAAGCTGCCACCAAATATTGTTGAAGCCTAAATATCTTTCCACAAATACATCTACTTTTAATGGAAAAAAGCTAATTATAACTTGAATATTTCCATTTAATGGGATAGTTTAACCTTTTGGGTTTGCATTAGAGCTGAATCAGTTCATTAGTTAATTGTTACAACAAAAAACAAAACGCAGTAGGACTGCATCATATCTGAATAAAAGACTTTTATTTGCTTTTTCTGCAACATATATTTTGATAGAATAAATACAGCAAGTTTCACCAGAAGCGTTACATGACTTTGTTTGAAAAGAATTGTTATTATTCTTGGCTTTGTAGCACAATTTATCTGCATCGAAAACAAAAAAAAAAAGCTAGAAAAAGCTGTTTGGAACCTTTCTCGTGTGGTATGTATATACAAAACATCCAAACTTAACTTGGGATTCTGAGACTGAAAATAGGACACGACCGACAGAACACCTGTTTTTGATCGACATCATCCTTTCTGTAGTTGAAGTATTTCCTGCTGTTGTGTTTCTTTTTGCAACCTAATCGTACTCTTCGCTGTTTATCTTCTGTTTCTCACTCATTTGCCTGTATATCAACATACACCATGACTTGCAAATGAAGTGGGAAAAAAAAAAAAGTGTTTATCCAAGAACCCTTAAATCAGAGTAAATGATGCTGTAGTGTGACACGTCTGAGTAGATTTCCTCGACAGCATTGCGTTGTGAATGCTGAAAGCACATATTCGGCTCTGACTGGTTGCAACTGTGATAATTAATCATTTGCTCTAAAAAAAAAAAGCCAAACGTTCTCCTCAGTTGTGAGGATTTGCTGATTTGTCTTGAACTGCATATATTTGGGTTATGGATTGTTTGAAGTTTTTACCTTTTCTTCGGACACTGTGGAGACTGAAAAATTGGTTGAGAAATCAATCGGAAGGTTAGTCAAGAGTAAAATACTTGTTAGTTGCAGGCCTGAGTTGATATGTAAAGCATGCCTCGGGTTTTTAAGGAGTCCATTTGTTTTGTTGAGGAAGAAGCGCTGAAGAGAGGCTGTGAAGAGTTTTGTTGAGTTGTTCTCAAATGAGATAAGACTGAAGATTGCACATCTCAAAAACAAAGTTGGGAAAAAGGTCCTTTTCAGAAGTCGATAAATGTAAAAGAAGTTTTCTCACGCATTGTTCTGTTCAATAAATTGATGAATAGGCAAAGATGCTGATGTGCTTTGACACAATGTTACTGTTAAAACAATGACAAGAAAGGGTTTTTTGGGAATAAAGAGAGACGCAAGACAGCGTGATTTGTGTGTGCAGAGTGTTGTGGGTTTGTGAGATGCTTTCATTGAGGAAAGTGTGTCTGGGAGTGAGAAAAACCTCACTTGGAAGCGTGGAAAGGAGTTGTAAAGAGGACCGTTCTTGATGAGCTCAGCTCGTCATGGGTGTGTTTTTAGAACTTTTGAATGAGGTCAGGAAGTGTTGCGGTTGTGTAGGGAGAGAAAGAGAGTGTGTGTTGTGGCTTTTTTTGAAAAGCTTGTGGGTATAGAGAAAGTCTTAAATAAGGAGACTGTGTGTGTGTTGTGGAGGGTGAACGGAGAAAGAAAGACTTGTTTGGGAGAAGAAAGAAAAGGAACATTAAGATGAAACGCTTTTTAATGTCAGAACAGAGTGCGATTGTGTTGTGGGTTGAAATGAGGACGAAATGTGTGCAAGGAGAGGGAAAGAATGGCATTTCAGAAAGAGAGCGCTGATTGACAAAACAGGAAAAGAGTGTGACACAAGTTTTAAGTAAGTGTGTGTTATTGGGGCAAAGAGAGGCGAAGCGATTGGCCGAGGAGTTAGAGGGAGTGTTTCAGGGCTGCGAGGAGTCTCGAGGACGTCTTTACAGGAGTGGACAAAGAGGCAAAGCTATGCAGAGTCTCGATTGGCTGCACCGAGAGAGCGTCTTGAGGAAGCAGAGGAGAGAAAACTGAGAGCACAAGAAGGGAGGGCTGGAAGGAAGAAGGGGGTGAACGAGAGGACAAGTAGGGAAGAAGGTGTCAGGCGAGTCAGAGGGTAAAAGGCTGGAAAGAAGTTGAAGAAAACAGAGCCGGAGGAGGGAAGAAGGAAGGGGAAACGTAGTGGACAAGAGGGTGAGGAAAGAAGGCAAGATTTGCTGTGTGGGTAAAAGCAAGTGAAGAGCTGACGAGGGAGAAAGAAACAAAGGAGGGGAGGGTGAGAAAAACAAAACCGTCAGTGGAGTAACGATTGACAGGGTTAATGAGAGGAAGGCTTAATTAACAAGTGAGTTTCTGCTGCCACAAACCAAAGACTCACACAAACACAGACCAAAATATCCCCACTGAGAGGAGCGTAGTGACAGGAGCTGGTGTTTTCTCCTCCTCCTCCTCCTCCTCCTCCTCCTCCTTCTCCTCTTCATGCTGTTGTTGGCCTTAACTGGCGGCGAATCACTGGGGCGCCACTACATCGCCATGTTCGAGGCCACGCAGAACGTCACGCTGAAACCTACGGAGTCCTGGAGGGAAGCGCTGCTGGACACCCGCATCATGGACCTCTTCTTCACAGTGAGTATCCATCCTCCAGTTCTTGTCTTTCGCAGAGTGTCAGCAGGCTCTGAAATGTTATTTTAAATGTGTTGCGTGACTTAATTTGCACCCGAAAATCTTTGGTTTCGCAGTTGTGTGCTCCTGTTGCACGCTTTTTTGACAACTTACATTTTTGTCTTCGCTGCACCTACAAATTAGTTTTTTATTTGATTTTAAACAATACTACAAAAAGTGATATTAACTGTACTTGGTGAAGCTGGCAGATGCTTTGTTTTCCTATACTGTACTTCTGTGCATGCATCCTCATCTTTCTGTCAGTTTGGCTCCCAATTTAAGTTATTTTTCTCTCACACATTTCCATCCTAGTTTTCTTGTGTCCTCTTTTCACATTTTTTTTCTTCGTAAATTTTTTTTTTTGCCGACTTCTATATGGACCTTTACGTCTTAGATTTATCTAATTTTAAACAGCATTACAAAAAGTATTATTAAATGAGTGTGAAACTTGCCAATGCTTTGCTCCCTGTCAATGTTCTGTTTTCTATGCATCCTTATTTTTCTTTTGCAGAATTATTTTTTCTCCCAATTCAAGCCATTATTTGTCTTCTCTTGTCCTCCTTTCACCTTTACTCCTCTTAAGGTGTTTTTCCCTGACTTCTACATGGTGGTTTATTTATTATAAACACAGAGAGACAGTTTGCCTTTTCATGTCGGGCAGAGAACTCCGGCTTGACCTCTTCTTTTGGCGCATCTGAAGTTTGTACTAGTTTCGTGGGTTTCTCGGATGCACCATTGAGTAAATTTATGGGTGCTTTGCAGAGGGGTCATGTTATTGTGTTACTGTCCAGAGGACCGCCCGGTGAAGTAAATGTGTATTTTTGTGCAGTGACTTGTGTGTTTTAAGAGGCGGCCCACGCTGGCTTAAGCACACCATGCGAAAGAAAGTGTGGAACAAACCGGTCAGCTCTTCTTCCGTTCAGCGTCCATCCAAACCCGCTGGCGGCCTGCTGCCAGATAGTGCTCCACAGCTCGACCTTTCAGCTGCGTGCTGCCACATGCTGCTACCTCCCTTTAGCCTCTTCCTGTCATCTTTACACCCTACTGTTGTGGAGCAAGTTCAGAAACCTTCTTGATTTTTGTTTTCATTCTTTTTCTTCTGCAAGCTATTGCTGTACTTGGTCACCTCATTTTCTTCTTTTACTCCACAAACTGCATGCATATTGTAAAAAACAGATCCCCTCATGTTGCCCTTTGTGCCCTGACACACCACCAGTCAAACAACACTGGGCATTGTTGGCTCTATTCATCCCTAATTAAACCCATTTAGTGACTGTTTAGTGGCTGTTCAGCCCAGTAAGTCAGCCATTTGTACAGTTTTTCTTTTTTACCTTTTTGATTCTCAAGGACCAAAATGTAATTTTTACTTTGAATGTATTCACTAAACACTTCATTAGGAAGTCAAGTTAGGTGGCTGCAGTTTAGTTCATCAGTTAATGTTGACATTATGCACAACACAAAGGGGTTAAAATCATTCCAGTGACTGTGATTGTTGGTGCCAAACATGCTGGTTTCAGTATTTCTGAAAAAGCTGGTTTTCACTACAACACTCTGTTGAGTTTACTCAGTGCTGAGAGAAACCAAAACAAACATCCAGTGAGCAGACGAAACACCTTGTTGATGACGTTTCTGCTGAGGCTGCAGAGTTATGTGCTCGTGTTATGTATTCATAGTCCCAACAGTCCAGGATGCTGCTGGTGGAAAAGTGTTCAAAATATACAAGAAGAATTAAAAGAAACAATTAGTTCTGTATACGAAAACACCACTTTTATCAAAGTAGCTACAAAAATCACAGTCCTGCTTTTTTTCCTCCATGTAGTTCATGTTGCTGTTGGTTTTCCACCAGCACAGAAAAGGAGGAAACAAATAGCCTGGAGGATTGATTCAAAGAAACCCCCAAACAAGAGGACAAATAGTTTCTTGGTGCGCTTTGGGGCTCATAATGCTGTAGCCTTATTGTGTATTGTTGTAGACCATGTGCATCCCTTCATGGTCACAGATCCTCTAAATCACTTCCAGCAGGATAATGCACCATGTTACAAAGCTAAAGTCAAACTGGTTTCATGAACTTGACAGTGAGTTTCTGAATGCTGGGACGCCCACAGAAAGTCTGAGCAGTACAAATACGAACTGCTTTTTCCCAACATAAATGCTCGCCTACTAAATATTACTGTACTACTGCTTTAGGACATAAGTTCACTGCATAATACTACTGATTCAGTTCTGTTTTTTTTTTTTTTTTAAGCCTGACATTTCATACTTCTTGGATGATTCGCTCTGATGGGTTAAATCGGTCTTTTTCTAAGTTTATAAATAATTGTGTTAGTTTGTGTGGGGCCGTAGTACTGTACAGTCATAAACACTGTATTTGTTCCAAAAGCAGCGCCACAGTTTTCAAATTCACTTTTTTAAGGGTTGCTTGAAATGTGTTTTGTTCTTTTTTTTGTTCTCTTACAAAAGCTGAAACTTGATGCCTGGATAGAGACTGCAGTGTTGGAAACTATTCTGTTTAGTGTTCTTTTATCAAATAGTCGGGGTTTTATTATTTTTTTCTTTTATGTGTGATAAAGGAAAACTAGCTTGAGTCACATTACTTTAACATATTGTTAATTTCTAATGTTTTCTAATACACCACGTTACATGTTTTTTGTGTGGATCATGCACAGACATTAGAGTCCAGCTTTGAAGAGAACTTTTCTTTTGAATACGGACGCTTTAAAAGCCGAAATAATAGATACAGTATTTTGATACTGTATCAGTTAATCACATTGAAATGCTACCATCGTTACGCAATTTTTACGATGACATTTATTTTGCTACAACCTTTTGTTTCTCAAATCCTACTGTTTGTCTAAAAACTGGGACTTCTGCTGTTTCTCTGTGGAAAAATATTTCCTCTTAGGTTTTTCTTTGGTCACATTTGTTAGCATCTGTCTTCAGCATCAGGGAATAGCTGTTAGCGTTCGACATTGTGGTCGTTGTTTGCTTTATGTGTTCCATCTGTTTCACAGTTCAAATAACCAAACCTTCAGTAAAAACAAACATATTCAGTACAAGATTGAACAGTTTTGAGTTATTTTTATACTGTAGCGTGTCTGGAGGCTTACATTACTGTTTGTACTGTTAAGTGGTAAAACAGTAATTGTGTTTTGTCGTACAATCTGCTTAATTGCGGAGCCAGATAATCACCGTTCTCTTACAATCTAAATTTAAGCCTTTTTTCACGTAGCCGAAAGTTGTCGGTCTGATTGTGACGACTATATTCACAAAGCAATCACAAATAACTCTAATTGGATCGGAGCAGCGAATATAATCAGAGATTTGTTATACAAATTACAGCGAAGGCCTAATCAAGGGTTTGATTGGCCCGTCGCAGCGGTCGGGCTTGAATAAAAATGTTTGTCATTTTTCAGTCGGTTCTCTTTGCTGCTGGAATCTGCAGGATGCGTTTCGTGTTGGTTTCAGTTTTCAGGCCTCCAGTATCCTCTCTCGCTGTGGTATTTCTAGTAGCTCAACTGTTTGTTATTGTAAGGCTGCTGTGGCACCGTCAGCTGCTGGTGTGTGTGTGTGTGTGTGTGTGTTGCAGCATCATCCTTGTTGTGTTGTGTGCACTCTGTGGAGCTGTGTCAGTTTGAGCTTCTGTGGTGGATGTTTTGTGTGTCCGCTCTGCATGGATGTACGTAAGAGGTGTGTGTTTATTCAGTTTAATGGGGTCCTTTGCTGTCTCAGCTGCTGTGCCTCCTCAGCTGTGAGAGGTTGTGTGTGTTTGTGTGGAGGGGAGGCCTTCATAGACACGCGCCATCAGGGTCACAGTCCACAGCAGACCGGTGGCAGGATTAGAGCCCGGCCCCGGGATTAGGGGCCCCTGTTAACAACCACAGCAACCCAACCATAATACACAAACGTCACCCTGTTGAGCGACTCTGGGGAGCCTCCGTCTTTCTTTGGTGTCTGTCAGCCTCCCATTAAATGGCTCCACTGATCAAGAGCGAACAGGAGGCAGCATGTGCAGACGTTATGTTGGTGATCAGCGATGTCACGTACGTTCGTGCCAGCTTTACTTGTTCAACACCCTGAATCCCAAGCTGGTTGTGGATGTTGTTTTTTTGGCTCCTGCCACATTTTTACTCACTGTTGGCTCTTTTTTTTTTTTTTTCTCTCTCTACTACACCTCTATGGAAGCATCACAACTTTGGCTAAAAGTAGAGAAAGCACAATCATTTTTTGTGCACTATGGCACAAAAAAGTTTCAAAATAAATAAATAAACAAATAAATCCCCCCCGAAGAATCCAAAAAGAATGTTTCTGATTTATTGTACGAAATTTAAAATAAAATCAGACATCCCACTTGTGCACAAGTCATAAAATCCCCCAAAAAAGGCCTTTAATAAATCAGCTCCAATAAAAGAAATGTCAAAATCATACATTTATAACAGTCCAGCTAAGTATTTTTTAATTTCCATATCAAATAAAGCAGCTTTAATTGATCAAAAATATTACAGAACAAAACATATCACACTGACCTGAGTTGGAGCATAGACCTAAAAATGTCAGGACCAGCTTACAGCACCAGGACCAACATAACTAGCAACTAATACGTCAAAGCAGGGCTAATTTAAAGAATATACTCAATGAAATACCGATAGTAATTAGGTTAGTCACAGCTGAGCCAAACTGGGTTACAAGGAGCACAAAATTTCAGTCTTCTTAGAGCAAATGGCTTGTTGTGGGATTTTTATTTTTATTTTTTAATGAGACGTTTAGAATACAGTGAGTTTTATTAAGTAACACAGTGTTAGGCTTAGATTTCGTTAAGTTTTCTGACAAAAATGAAAGTCACGCAACATTAGTTCATGGACCGTCAGACAATTCTTTATGTTTTTACAGTTTCTGGTTCTTATAAATAGTATATTTTTATACCGATGGCTTTTGGTGTTCAAAGGGTTTCTTAAGTCTTTTTCCCA